ATTTGATTTCCATTATTTCTTATGGAGAAAATTAATTCGCATAACGATAATTTCGCATAACATTGAGCTCTCAGGAACGGATTAATAGCGTTATGCGAGGGTCCACTGTATTCGGGTAAACACGAGGACTAGCAAATTACGTCATGAAATTAAAAAAAAATCAACGAAAATCGCGCTACTTTGGTTTATTTATGCGATGTAAGTGATTTCTTATTGTTTCCCATGTATAGTACACCATTTTCTGTAGTGCTACCAGGGGTAACATAGAAAATCCTTCTCTTATAGAGAGGGTCTGATGTACATAATTATTTCATCAAGGTCAGCCACCACCTCTGGATATAATATACAAATGTTATTATTTTGGCTGGCTTTCTTATGCATTTATCCAAGTTATATTATGCATACTATCACTATTGAATAAATGATATAAGCAGAAAAAGGATATTAGCAATAATAGCATCAGTATAAGACATCTTGTGAGTGGTGATCGGACTGTTGTCACGGCAACTGGATGTTGCACCATCATGCAAGCTCCTTCCACATCTGATATAAGCTCCTCCCACATTGTAATGATATTAAGTGGTAAATTTAGTGTATTAGAAAGAAAAATAGTCAGAAAATTAAAAAACAAACAAAAAATATATAAAACATTCACCTCGCACTTACGCATATATTTACCTGACATGTTTCAAGTATCTATAATTTGCTTTAGAAACATCGTATTACAATGGGGTTTTCACCAAAATGTTCCCAGATACCTAAACTATTTTTCTGTAAACAAAACCCAAAATCATATTTTTCGCATAATTATCATGACCGCGTCAGAAACTCGGAGTACATATAGGCCCCTCAATTGAGTGCCGATACCGAAAGAATTTGTTCCCCTAAGGAATAATGTAAATTAGATTAATCTGTTTCAGACCCCCAAAAATACGCTTACAAAACTACACTTACATAATTGTTTGAGTTGGGAGCTGTTCATATCCTGAGGTACCACTGTACTCTGCTCTTCTTATAACACTTCTGCTTTGTAAAAGCCTCTCATAAGCTACCTTTTTCTTTTTTATCACACCCTTTACTTCATTATTCCACCAATTGCTCCTCTTTCCTCCTGCACCCACCCTCCTATAGCCACAAACTTCTGCCCCACATTCTAATACTGCATTTTTAAAACTATTCCAACCCTTTTCAACCACCCCTTCCCCCACTACTCATATTGCACTATCCCACCTTTCTGCCAATAGTTGTTTATATCTCACCCTAACTTCCTCCTCCCTTAGTTTATACACCTTCGCCTCTCTCTTACTTGCTGTTGCTATTTTCCTTTTGTCCCATCTACCTCTTACTTTAACTGTAGCTACAGCTAAATAATGATCCGATATATCAGTTGCCCCTCTGTAAACATGTACATCCTGAAGCCTACCCATCAACCTTTTATCCTCCAATACATAATCTAACAAACTACTTTCATTACATGCTATATCATACCTTGTATACTAATTTATCCTCTTTTTCATAAAATATGTATTACTTATTACCAAACCTCTTTCTACACATAGCTCAATTAAAAGCTCCCCATTTTCATTTACCCCTGGCACCCCAAATTTACCTGCTACTCCCTCCACAACATTTTTATCCACTTTAGCATTGAGATACCCAAGCACAATTACTCTCTCACTTGGTTTGAAACTCCCCATGCACTCACTCAACATTTTGCAAAATCTCTCTCTCTTCTCTATACTTCTCTCTTTACCAGGTGCATAAACACTTACTATAACCCACTTTTCACATCCAACCCTTATTTTACACCACATAATCCTTGAGTTTATACATTTATATTCCCTCTTTTCCTGCCATAACTTATCCTTCAACATTATTGCTACTCCTTCTATAGCTCTAACTCTATTGTTTTCAGTAAATAGTTTTTCTCAGCTATTTTTTCACTAAGTGCATTCATATTTTGCATACAGTAGATACCAGTTAGAGCTCAGTCAAACTGCATGAGATTGTCATAACATTGTTGAAAAGCTACACCAAAAAAAATTATAGCATAGGAAAAGGATTGCTTGACAAGTAGTATGTCACTGATGTCAGCTAGGCCTGTATATTATGTACATGTAGTAAATAAAGATAAAGATATTAAATTTAAAAAAAAAAAAAATAATTATGTGAAATTTGGTAGCTCCCGCCATAGATTTTCTCAATCTGCTCACCAGGCCATAAGCAGTGCTTCCCCAGCCACTGGGCCATGAGTGATGCCTTTCCCAGCCTTTTCCATTCTTGCTAAGCAGAAGCAAGTCACATCACTAGACAGCATTATCCTTAGCTAACAAATGTTATCCAGAATTTATATACCAGTAACTTTTGCAGACTTAATTTATATAGACCACCACCACCTGTGTAAAAAGTTTGAAAGGAATAGTTAGTGCATTATAATTATCAGCAATAAACGAAAGGTTCAGTCAAACACTATTGGAATATTAATTCTGAAGGTCAGTGCAGTAACCAAGTATTGTATGTTATCATTATTACAGTGAAATTATACATCCCTATGCCTTCAAAATTGATGTACTGTATCTACTCTTGATTGGTAATATAGAATGAATAATTGTTTTACATGATGGTAGGATTGCTGGTGTCCATTTTTTTGTCTCATAAATATGCAAGATTTCAGGTATGTCTTGTTACTTCTACTTGCACTTAGGTCACACTACATATACATGTACAAGCATATATATACACACCCCTCTAGGTATTCTTCTATTTTCTTTCTAGTTCTTGTTCTTGTTTATTTCCTCTTACCTCCATGGGGAAGTGGAACAGAATTCTTCCTCCGTAAGCCATGCGTGTTGTAATAGGCGACTAAAATGCCGGGAGCAAGGGGCTAGTAACCCCTTCTCCCGTATAAATTACTAAATTTAAGAGAAACTTTCGTTTTTCTTTTTGGGCCACCCTGCCTTGGTGGGATACGGCCGGTGTGTTGAAAGAAAGAAAAGTTTTTAAGTGAGAGTAGTGGAAGTACAGTAAATATTACAACCACTGCCATAACACCTGTGTGCCAGGAAAAATTATTAACGCATTTGGAGGTTTCAGTCAGCTGTATTCCACAGCAGTATTGTTAACCTCTTTTTCTGTCCAGACTCTCAAAATTAAAAGTGTTCATTTAAAAAAAAAAATTCTTCTGAAATAGTAGAGAATCTTTTTCTGAAAGTAATAACACCAAAAATATGAAATTTAATGGAAAACTTATGGAACTATGTAGGAGTAAAGTTAGCGGTCTGGGTGCAGGTTATGCATTAATGATTTTGCCAACTTTGAATCGTATTTTAAGCCATTTCTTTTTCTCCATTCAACCAAATTCTTAGCTATTTTGCATGTATGCCTTTCATTCTATTGATTAAGCACAAGAAATTGCCCATTTAGCAAACAGAACAATATTTCCTCTGTTCATTAATCATGTCTCCAGGCCTGTATTACACTTCCTTCCATTTTGAATTTGTCATCACAAAAAAAATTGAAACTCTACCCTATTTCTCACCTAATAAAATATAAACAGGAATGACTGGTCAAGGTTTACAGTGTCCCAATAATTGAACCAGCCCTAGTAAAAACCCATAAAACAGATCAGGGGGGGCCTTGCTTGTCTTTTGGAAAATCTTCAAATTTTAATATTTCTGCTACTTTTTGAGGCCAATTTCGAGCTACTTGCCATCCTGGAACCAATCAGAATCATCTCTTAATTCAGTAGTTTGTCTTCCATTCTATCAATTGATACCAAGAAACAGCCAATAAAAGACATTCTAGAAAACACCTCACAGTTGCTATTTTAAACCAAACAAGGTCAGAGTTTTGCTTTTCTCATCATGCACACACTCTCCAAAAACCTATTCTCTCATATCTAGGCCAGAATTTAGTGCTCACAGCTTATCTGAGTGAGCTGAGTTCATGAAGTAGCTCTATGTGACAGACCCTGGTGTTAATATCATAGTTTTATGTGATGGACAGTGAGAGGGTTCATTGTACAATAGTATTTAATTTTCTGGATTTTTTCATCTATGTATTGTAAGTTTTGAAATAAATGCTCCTTAAATTCAGTAGTAGATTGGCAGACAGCAACTGCCCAGGGAGGTACTACCGTCCTGCCAAGTGAATGTAAAACGAAAGCCTGTAATTGTTTTACATGATGGTAGGATTGCTGGTGTCCATTTTTCTGTCTCATAAATATGCAAGGTTTCAGGTACGTCTTGCTACTTCTACTTACACTTAGGTCACACTACACATACATGTACAAGCATATATATACACACCCCTCTGGGTTTTCTTCTATTTTTTTTCTAGTTCTTATTCTTGTTTATTTCCTCTTATCTCCATGGGGAAGTGGAATAGAATTCTTCCTCCGTAAGCCATGCGTGTTGTAAGAGGCGACTAAAATGCCGGAAGCAATGGGCTAGTAACCTCTTCTCCTGTATATATTACTAAATGTAAAAGGAGAAACTTTCGTTTTTCCTTTTGGGCCACCCCACCTCGGTGGGATACGGCCGGTGTGTTGAAAGAAAGATTTTTCAAATAATAATAAGGTATTGCTGTTAATAACTGAAGACACTAATAAGGAACTAGTAACCCTTTCTACTGTATAAGTTACTAAATTTAAAAAGAAAAATTTTTGCTTCTTTTTTAAATGTTTTTTTTTCTTTTTAGGTCACCCTGCCTCAGTGGGATATGGCCAGTTTGTTGAAAAAAAAAAAAAAATTTTTAGGTCACCCTGGCTCAGTGGGATACGGCTGGTTTGTTGAAAAAAAAAAATGTTTTTGTGAAGTGCTAAACCCATGTGATCATTCAGCACAAGATGTATGGGACAGATACTCCTTGCTTTGTTATTCTAGTTTCCCAGTCAGTAACTGAAGCAGTTAGATTAAAATATATCTTATTCATAAACATGTTAGTGAAGATTGAGAACAAGTAAACCACATCAGAAAAAAAAACCTTTATCATCTTTTCAGCCCAGCTGCAAGAAACATGCCGGAATGGAGGAAATGTTCTAATAGCTACTGACACAGGTGGGAGAGTATTGGAAATGACACACATGCTGGAGCAAATGTGGAGCACGCGAGAGAGTGGATTAGCTGCATATTCACTCTGTATTCTATCAAACACTGGATACCATGTCATACATTTTGCTAAACAGATGGTAATATTATAATTAAGAAGTTATTAATTTGTGATTATTGGTGTAACTATATGACAGTCAAATGTGATCTTTATAAAATGCTACCAAGGCCCACTTGGATGTCAGCTGCCATACTATTGTACTTTTCTTTAAGATGAATGTTCATCATTGTGCTTCTTTTAAAAGTCAAAAATTTATTTTGCTGATAATTTTCTTGCTGGATCAGTGCTATTTTGATATAATATAAAATTTCATCAGTAGCAACAGTTGTAAGTTTATTTTATTTTAAAACTGTCTGTTATCATATTCCATGTTCATTTTAACTAACATAATTCATTTGTATCTTATTACTGATATTATACAATACTGACAAGTTGATGAATGAGACATATTTACAGCACTTGCATATCTTTATTACTAAAATGTTTCCCTTGCATAACAGGCTTCTTTAGCAAATATATGAAGTGGTAGAATTCTGAAAGCATTGGAAGGGACCTTCCACCCTCCAGCAATTCTAATAAACTCATCATGTCAAAACTACTACTTTTGCTTCCAGAATTCTACTGCTTCATGTATTTGACTGAAGAAGCCTATTGTGTAGCCAAAATAAGATACCCAAGAATTGCGATTGTGCCCTAGTCATCATGATTCACTTGACCAAATCCTCATTGTCCCACTCATTAACATTCACCACACACCGTATAATAACCATGATTTTTTTATAGAAAATGCAGTAAATTTGTATTTTGTTTTATTAACACATCGACTGTCGCTCACCAAGGCAGGGTGCCTGAAAAAGAAAAACTTTCATCATTATTCACTCCATCACTGTCTTGCCAGAGGCGTGCTTACACTACAGTTATGAAACTACAACATTAAGACCCCTTCTTCAGAGTGCAGAGACTGTACTTCCCATCTCTGGGACTCAAATCCGGCCTTCCAGTTTCCCTGAATCCCTTCATAAATGTTACCTTGCTCACACTCCAGCAGCATGTCAAGTCCTAAAAACCATTTGTTTCCACTCACTCCTATCAAACACGCTCACACATGCTTGCTGGAAGTTCAAGCCCCTAGCACACAAAACCTCCTTTACTCCCTCCCTCCAACCTTTCCTAGGCTGACCCCTACCCGGCCTTCCCTCCACTACAGATTTATGTACTCTTGAAGTCATTCTATTTTGTTCCCTCCTCTCTGCATGTCCAAACCACCTCAACCCCCCTCAGCCCCTGGACAATAGTTTAGATAGTCCCGTTCCTCCTCCTAATTTCCAAACTATGAATTCTCTGCATTATATTCACACCACATGCGTTCTAGTTTATTAGGTCGTTCTTGGTAGCGGGGAGTAATGATAAGGTTTCGGAGGCTTCATTCTTTATTTGCGATATCTGTGTACACAGACAGTGTGTTTGTGCCCATGGCCCCAAGGGGCCATGCCAGTGAGGGAGAGAGGAGTAGGCCTTGTTGGCTCTAGGTTGCATTGGCATGGTGCCCATGGCCCCAAGGGGCCATGCCAGCAAGGGAGAGAGGAGTAGGCCTTGTTGACTCTAGGTTGCATTGGCATTGAGTGAGACAGAGGCAGGGTGATGCCGTTTCAAGTGGCATGCCCACTGAGAGGCCTACAGGTGGCAGTAAGAGCATGGTGCGAAATATGAACTCAGCTGGCAGACAGCATGGGCTGTCTATGCAGACAGTACAGGCTGTCTACATTTGCTTGGCCACGCACCGCCATGGTTGTCCTCGACTATGACTGGCAGAAAAAAAACTCGGTCTCTCTCTCGCAGGAACAGGGCACAAAACACAAAATAAAAACATTTTTTTTTTTTTTTTCAACAAGTCGGCCGTCTCCCACCGAGGCAGGGTGACCCAAAAAAGAAAGAAAATCCCCAAAAAGAAAATACTTTCATCATCATTCAACACTTTCACCACACTCGCACATTATCACTGTTTTTGCAGAGGTGCTCAGGATACAACAGTCTAGAAGCATACACATGTAAAGATACACAACATATCCCTCCAAACTGCCAATATCCCAAACCCCTCCTTTAAAGTGCAGGCATTGTACTTCCCATTTCCAGGACTCAAGTCCGACTATATGAAAATAACCGGTTTCCCTGAATCCTTCACTAAATATTACCCTGCTCACACTCCAACAGATCGTCAGGTCCCAAGTACCATTCGTCTCCATTCACTCCTATCTAACACGCTCACGCACGCTTGCTGGAAGTCCAAGCCCCTTACCCACAAAACCTCCTTTACCCCCTCTCTCCAACCCTTTCGAGGACGACCCCTACCCGCCTTCCTTCCCCTATAGATTTATATGCTTTCCATGTCATTCTACTTTGATCCATTCTCTCTAAATGACCAAACCACCTCAACAACCCCTCTTCTGCCCTCTGACTAATACTTTTATTAACTCCACACCTTCTCCTAATTTCCACACTCCGAATTTTCTGCATAATATTTACACCACACATTGCCCTTAAACAGGACATCTCCACTGCCTCCAACCGTCTCCTCGCTGCTGCATTTACCACCCAAGCTTCACACCCATATAAGAGTGTTGGTACTACTATATTTTCATACATTCCCTTCTTTGCCTACATAGATAACGTTTTTTGACTCCACATATACCTCAACGCACCACTCACCTTTTTTCCCTCATCAATTCTATGATTAACCTCATCCTTCATAAATCCATCCGCCGACACGTCAACTCCCAAGTATCTGAAAACATTCACTTCTTCCATACTCCTCCTCCCCAATTTGATATCCACTTTTTCTTTATCTAAATCATTTGACACCCTCATCATATATACATATATACAGTATATATATACATATGGACATGGAAAAAAACTTCCTACATGCTAAACATCATGGTCCAAAGCAGTGATCCTCAGAGGCATCACTGCACACCTTTCTGTGTCTGGAAAGATACTACAACACAGGAGACATTGCTTCGGCTGAGCTGTGACGTAACAGGGTACGGTCTCCTCTGGAAGGATAAAGCAGTCATTGTAGTAGTCGCTGCAGGGTTCACTCATCCTGGGGCACAACCTGCTGGTGCCCTCGAGTGAGGCGTCACCAGTACTCAGCAACTGGGCACGATTTCTTCTGAGAAGTGACTCAGGAGGACATTTCTCGACTGGTACTTTAGCTGTGGCTGTCACTGTCGGTGAGTGTGGAGCGAGTCATGGCAGAGACAACTCTGCAAAGCATCTGGAAGTTGTAACATCATACACCATACTGGAGTGAGCGGGCTAGCAGTCAAAGTGACATCATCTTTGTGCAGGCTGCTCACTGAAGCTGTGACACGAGGCTGACACAGTGCCTGCCGACAAGGTCTAACTGCAGCTTGATGAGTGTCATTCTCTCGGCAGTTGGAGTTATAGCAGAGGTTAGTCTAAGTGTCCCCAGACTGGTTCTCTACATATAACTACTCTGAAGGTTAGGAGGTGACGTGAAACAAATATCGATGGGAATCGTAGCGGGTATGATTCTGCAGGGCATCACGAGCGGTGAACAATAAGAGCTTTCTGTACAAGGGGCTCAGACGCTTGTAACTGACTCCTGGAGTTTACCTGGAGAGAGTTCCGGGGGTCAACGCCCCCGCGGCCCGGTCTGTGACCAGGCCTCCTGGTGGATCAGAGCCTGATCAACCAGGCTGTTGCTGCTGGCTGCACGCAAACCAACGTACGAGCCACAGCCTGGCTGATCAGGAACTGACTTTAGGTGCTTGTCCAGTGTCAGCTTGAAGACTGCCAGGGGTCTGTTGGTAATCCCCCTTATGTGTGCTGGGAGGCAGTTGAACAGTCTCGGGCCCCTGACACTTATTGTATGGTCTCTTAACGTGCTAGTGACACCCCTGCTTTTCATTGGGGGGATGGTGCATCGTCTGCCAAGTCTTTTGCTTTCGTAGTGAGTGATTTTCGTGTGCAAGTTCGGTACTAGTCCCTCTAGGATTTTCCAGGTGTATATAATCATGTATCTCTCCCTCCTGCGTTCCAGGGAATACAGGTTTAGGAACCTCAAGCGCTCCCAGTAATTGAGGTGTTTTATCTCCGTTATGTGCGCCATGAAAGTTCTCTGTACATTTTCTAGGTCGGCAATTTCACCTGCCTTGAAAGGTGCTGTTAGTGTGCAGCAATATTCCAGCCTAGATAGAACAAGTGACCTGAAGAGTGTCATCATGGGCTTGGCCTCCCTAGTTTTGAAGGTTCTCATTATCCATTCTGTCATTTTTCTAGCAGATGCGATTGATACAATGTTATGGTCCTTGAAGGTGAGATCCTCCGACATGATCACTCCCAGGTCTTTGACGTTGGTGTTTCACTCTATTTTGTGGCCAGAATTTGTTTTGTACTCTGATGAAGATTTAATTTCCTCATGTTTACCATATCTGAGTAATTGAAATTTCTCATCGTTGAACTTCATATTGTTTTCTGCAGCCCACTGAAAGATTTGGTTGATGTCCGCCTGGAGCTTTGCAGTGTCTGCAATGGAAGACACTGTCATGCAGATTCGGGTGTCATCTGCAAAGGAAGACACAGTGCTGTGGCTGACATCCTTGTCTATGTCGGATATGAGGATGAGGAACAAGATGGGAACGAGTACTGTGCCTTGTGGAACAGAGCTTTTCACCGTAGCTGCCTCGGACTTTACTCTGTTGACGACTACTCTCTGTGTTCTGTTAGTGAGGAAATTATAGATCCATCGACCGACTTTTCCTGTTATTCCTTTAGCACGCATTTTGTGCGCTATTACGCCATGGTCACACTTGTCGAAGGCTTTTGCAAAGTCTGTATATATTACATCTGCATTCTTTTTGTCTTCTAGTGCATTTAGGACCTTGTCGTAGTGATCCAATAGTTGAGACAGACAGGAGCGACCTGTTCTAAACCCATGTTGCCCTGGGTTGTGTAACTGATGGGTAGTGATTGCACCTGCAAAATAAGTCACCATGGGCCCCAAGAAAGCTTCTAGTGCCAACCTTACAGCAAAAAGGGTGAGAATTACTATGG